CGGGTCTCAGTCCAAATCTTGGACCCGAACACTATTAAGGTCCGGGTCCATTAATATTTTTCAGATCCTAATATATGACATATATTTAAATATAGTTTAATACATAAATATTTTAATTTTTAAGTTGGATCCAAGTCCTGCACTATATTTCCTGGTCATGGTGAATTCGGATCCAGGTCTGAGTTTGGGTCCCATATTATTTTTTAGGGGTCGGGTTAGGGTGTGGCCCCTTTGCCGCCCCAAATTTTGGCATGGTTGTTTGCTATGAACAAATAAAATAAAACAGAAAGGTTCAATCCCTGCCACCCCCCCTACCTAATTAGTGCAAATCCCCGCCACCCCCCCCCTAATTAGTACAAAATAAATGGAAAACAAACTCATTAAGTAAGTGGCTAGCAAAATCCCATTATTTCAAGTCGCATTCATATGGAACTATCAAAAGTCCAAACATCATAAGTTCCATTCAGGAAAATTTTTTAAAAATCATAAATTTATTAGATTAAATACAATGACTCATTAGACACTTGCTATTTATTTAAATCAACATAATTATTTCTAGGAAAATATTTATATAAGAATGAGGTCCTAAACAATCAAATTAAGGTGCACCTAAAAAAAAACATTAGAAGAGATTATTTCGATGTCGAAAAATCCTCGAATCGATCATCTCGAACTCAAGATATATAGATATGAAAAAAAATAAATTTCAGATCTTGAAAATAGTGCATCTTGCAACACATTTTTTAGACTTTCAATTTTTAATACTTTCTAGTGTTCATAGATCTACTCGATGTACACCATTTTTTAAGCTTTAAATTTTATAATTAGAGATAAAAATAAATCTTTAGGCCACCACAAAGATTTTCAGTACCAAAGCAACATCTTTCGATACTATTTGAAGGTGCATCTTACTTGGATTTTTGAAGGTGCGTCTTACTTTGATTGTTTAAAACTCAGCCTCATACAAACCACACCCTTACTCTTATGGGCAAATAATACGTAATAAACTTAAAACGCCTTTCATAAGCAAGAGTGGGGACTTGATGGCTAATGGGGACTTCAATAAAAATTTCATCTTCCTTTTTCCTCCATCAGGTTTCACCCAAAATATCGACAAAAATCTCACAAAGATGAATATAATAATGATATATAGTGGTTAGAAGATTACATGTCTCTAAGGGCATGTTTGGTTGGTGCATTTCTAGAAAATATTTTATAATGCATATACAAATAAAGCCCATGGTAAAAAAAATTTACTATGAAATTGTCTAATTCATAGTAAAACAAAACATCACCTTTTTGAGGTGGGAAAACATTCTCCACGCTTTTATTTTTACAAATAAACCCATTATTCACTATTCACTATTAACTTTTCATTATTTATAATATAACATATATTATATAAATATTTTATTAACATATTAAATAATCCTATACTCTTCAACTTCGCCACCAACCTCGAGGAAAAAAGAATGATGAATCATTATGTATCTACCTTGAAAAAGAAAATAACATCCTAAAATTAAATAAAGATTGCCTAATATTTAGACAATGACGTCTAAAATTTAAATATTTTGATACTCAAAACCCCTATTTTCCTTGAAAATATCCATTTCCAAAGTGGACCCTACAAGGGTTAATAATTATGAATGGGGAGTTTTACATGAGTAAAACTAAGAAACCTACATGTCTCCGTTCCGCATGTATATAATTCATGCTGATATAAGTGTTTAAAAAATCGTCGAACCGACATTGAACCATCTGATTCTATCTTGAGACCTAAGGGGGATATACTTGAATTCCCTTTTGAAATCAACAAGTCATGTCACTGTTTATTTGAGAATACTGTTTTGTTTTTTTTTTTTTAATTTTTGATATTTCGATCCGTACCAATAAATACCCCCACCCTTACCCTAATTACATATATTAATTTTTTCGATTTTTTTCGATCTCCATATTGCAAGCCCAAATAGGTTGGGCTGGTGATCTTAAAAAAATAAAAATAAAAAAACTTAAAATATGTATTTAGGGTAAAGGGTGGAAGCATTTAGGGAGACCTGAAAAAATATTAAATAAGCTTTTAAAATAATTAATATAAAATAAACAATTCAGAGGAAGGACCAAGCCAATACTAATAGCTTTTGAGAACTAATTCAATCTTAACCGATTCTCAATACTAATCGACAATTTGGATCGGACGAGTTTTCAAACCCCTACAAATGAAATATCAGATGCATGCATACTCCCAATACAAAATAAAAATAAAAATAAATAAATGAATAAATAAATAAATAAATGTTGCCATGTGACACATAAATGGGTTTCTTTCCCTTAGTCAAAATATTCCGCAAAGGAATGGGCCACGTGGTGACGTGGTCAACAGTCAGCCGTGTAATTTTCACACGCTTTCACTCTCACCTACCCCTTACACGTGCCAACCTAACGATTCTTGCACCATATGACACGCTCACCTACCAACCCACAAAACCTAAACAGTAATTCTTTCTTCCATAATAAAAACAAACATAAGACTAGGTTTTCTCTAAGAAAACGACAAACTTAAACTCTAAGCTTTTCCATAAGGAACCAAAAGCATGAAATTAGGTTTCTAATTAGGAGAAGGGTGTGGTTTGCGTAAGGCGGAGGCCGTAAACAATCAAAGTAGGCGCACCTTCAAATAGTTACGAAATATATTGTTTCAATATAAAAAATCTTTATAATGACTTGAAATTTTATTTTCATCTTTAATTATAAAATTTAAAGTTTAAAAATAGTGTAGATTGAACAGATCTATGAACACTTGAAAATTAACAGTCTAGTTTAGATAATACGTTACAAGATACACTATTTTCAAAACTTGAAATTTATTTATTTTCATGTCCAATCATTTTGAGGTCAAGATGATCGAATTTTAAGATTTGTCAATATCCAAACAACTTTTTCTGATACAATTTTAAGGCGTGTCTTAATTTGATTGTTTAAGGCCTCGCCGTTATACAAACTCTTTCCGGTAAAAGATAAAGTAGCAGTCAGTCCCTTGTCCTTTACAAACACCTAAAAAACCCTTAAAATAAGGTGGAAAGAAGAAGAAAAGGACAATAATTTCTCTATTATTTGGAGACCGTCACTCATTTAATGAACCATAACTCCAAAGGACAATGGAGCATAAAGATGCCATTTGGTATTGTTTCGAGGGAAATGACCTTGTAACTACAATTACGTGCGTGGGCTTTCAAAAGATTATCATTAAATTTGATATAGATTGTTAAAAGAATAAGTCTCACACCTATATGATAACGTTTTTAGATATTTATATTAAATTTAATAGTGATCATTTGGGGTTCTACACACATAAGTGTGGGAGGGTCTCATAAGATCGTTACTCTTGTTTTTATCGCAACGTTTAAAGGAAAATTTATCAACGAGACTATATACAAAGAGACCATTTAGCATTTGTATAATGACGTCACAATTACTTACAACCTCCGATGTAAAATCTGATAGCTTGAGTATGTCATAAAGTTCGAAAAAAATTCTTTTGAACTTTGAACTTGGTTAATGAAATAAATGATGCCACCCAATGTCACATCCAATGGTCAAGATTAATTGCGACTCCCTTGTACCAAAAGTAAATGATTTCATAATATACTCTCCTAATACACATAAGATATGGGCTATTTAACATTTGGAAAAAGTTAACAATAGCTGGCCGGCTATAATAAATAGTAATATAGGTGGATGAGAACCGTCATATATTCTTCATACGGTTCATAATACATATTACTATTTTAATATTAATTTTTTTCTATAAATCAGATCATAATGAAATTTTAGACATGGGTACTAAAAAATAAGGCGCACAAATTAAAAATATAAAAAATTTCATATTAATCAGATTTATATAAAAAATATTACAATTAATCAGATTTATATAAAAATTAATCAGATTTATATAAAAATTAATCATATTTATATAAAAAATTAATCAGATTTATATACAATGGCTCCTCAAATTACACATAATTTCGATTTGAAATAGTAGAAGAGGTTAAAATGTTAAATGATCGAATAGTATAATCCATTTTGATAAATTTCTCGAGTTTAAATGAGATTCTATTCAAATGCATTGAAGATCCAATTAAATATAAGACTCTAAGACGTGAAACACATTCTTAAGTCGTTCTAGATCCATTTTTGCTTTGGCAAAAATTCATGGTTTTCTAGTTCAAAAATTTATATAGGATTTTTACCGGTGTCTATTTTCAAAATTCATTTTTTTTATGTTCAAATTCATGATCACAGTGGTCGAAATTAATGACTAGTAAAATTTTAAGTCCAAAAAATGATTTCTCTATGAAGACGACAATTGAATAGACATGTCTAATTCACCGAAACCTCTCCAACAATACATTTAAAAACTTTCCTTCATTTTCAATAATTTCCCTTAACTCCCAAAAACAAGCAACAAACATAGCAATCCCAGTAGCAACATCTCAAAACTTACATTCTTTCCCTAACTATGTACACATTGGAAAAGTATTAGAATAGGACTGTTGCTATCCATACAAAACTGGCGGCACAATCCTTTAGCCATATGAAGTTAGAAGTAGTTGAATCGTATATTGTCTGTCAAGAAAATAAAATATAATCATTTTTAGCCATCAAATATAAAATAAACATATATTATCACTACATAAAAAGATGAGTCGCTTGCTACAATTATCTTCAACTACGATAAGTGATATCAGATGAGTACAGTTATATTGATTGCCGCAAAAATTTTTCGAAAGCCTCAAACAAATATCTTACCCCAACTATTTAATTTTACATCCAACATTTTATACAAACCCATATAAATTCTTTCTGTTCCTATACAACCCATATTAGCTTGCATTTGAACAAAACAATAATCATCATCATCACAGTTTTTTTCTTTCTAATTAATAAAGGTCAGCTACACGATTTTTAATCGGCCATTTAAACAAATCAAATAAGTATTATCAATAAATAATAAAAATTGATGCATTATAACAACAATATTTCACATTTACTTTCCACGCTTTGCAACTCCCAATATGTGAATTGCATGAAACCGAAAGAAGCAATAAAATAAGATAGGTTGAGATTTACATTTTGATGCATCTCCTTCCCTCTCAATAAAAATAAAAATAAAAATAAACAATACATACACATCGGACGCAGGCTTACAGTGTGAAAAAAGAAAAACGAAGGAAAAAGAAGAGGTGCTAGAGAGAGAAAGAAGAGAGAATTGGTGGGTATAGGACAAATGGCTTTTGTTCAAGAGAGAGAAAATTGGTGGGTCAAGACACATTTGGGATTAGGTCAAGAGAGAGAAGGAAGAGAGAGAATTGGGGGAAGGGGTTCAAGACATTTTGGGCCAAGAGAGAGAATGAGTGGGTTTCAGAGACCTATTTGGCTTTTTGTAGAGAGAATTGGAGGGTTTTAAAACATTTGGCTTTAGGGTAAGAGAGAGAAAATTGGTGGGTTCAAGACGCATTTTGGCCTAGAGAGAGAAAAAAGAGAGAGAATGCGTGGGTCTAAGACACATTTGGGTAGAGAGAGAAAAGAGGAGAGAGAATTGGAAGGTTTAAGAAATTTGGGTTTTCTTGTTGTAGGGGAAGGTGGTGGAGAGAGAAGGTTGGGTGTTAAGGGCAAATTTGACCTTTTTTATCTGTCTCTCCTCTGTTGGTTCATGTTTAGGACTTAGGAGTTTTCACGAGATGGGATCCATGGGGTCATGTCCATGGGATATGACCCTAATACCCTCAAGAAAGTTGTAAATTCCTGGACCTCGGCCAAGGCATTCTGAGCTCTCACATCGGCCATGGAGGCCTCAAAATCCACATAAAACAAGTACTCGAAGTGCTTGGCAGTACCAACATTGGCGTCGTCGACGAGCCGGATCGGCCGGTTGCGGTGCGGCCGGCTCTCGATCTTGGTCAGGCTGATGTTCCGAAAGGCGAAGGCGGAGAGGACCTTGAAGAGCACCGAGGTGCCCTTATCATGGGCGAAGACGATGCTGGTCTTGAACGGCCGATCTGTGCGGGGCACGATCGGCTCGCGGGCAAGCATGACGAACCGGGTGACGTTGCTGGAGTCGTCCTGGATGCCATCGGCGAGGATGGAGAGGCCGTAGAGCTCGGCGGCACGGGCGCTGGCGATTGCGGCGGTGTCGCGGAGGCCGTTTGCGGCGACAAACTCTGCAGCACCAGCGGTATCATCGACGGCCTCGCGGGCGACAGAGAGGCCGAGCTTGGTGAGGGTGTGCTCGCACTGGGCGAGGGCCTGGGGGTGGCTGATGACGCGGGTGAGGTACTCCTTGCGGATGCCGGGGAGGGCGAGGAGACAGTGGTGGACCGGCAACTGGACCTCGCCAACGATGTGGAGGCGGTGGCGGAGCAGGAGGTCGTAGTTGCGGTGGATGCTGCCGCCGAGGGAGTTCTCGACGGGAAGCACGGCGCGGTCTGCCAGCCAAAGCTCCACCGCCTGGAAGGCCACCTCAAACTGGTCACAGGGGATCGCCTCACAGTCAGGATATGCCTTGCCGGCGGCGGCCTCGCTGTATGCCCCGGGGACGCCCTGGTATGCGACGCGCAGACTGGAGCCATGCATCGGGGCGGGCGCAAGGTCCGAGATCGAGAGGGGCTTCGGGAGGTTTACGCCAGCATTCCCGACAGGGACAAGGTCAAGGGACTTGTGGCCATTGATGGCGGGGGAGACCATGTCGGTACCTTTATCGACCTTCTGCTGCTCGGCGACGACCTTGCTCGAGAGGATAGCGCAGGAGCTCTGCCAGGCGGCACGGCTGTGGGTGGCGGCGCCGTGAACGCCATTGACACTGCTGCAGTGGATGATGGGACGCAGGCGGTGGCGGGGATGCAGGAGGCGGGATGGCGCCACCAGTGGACATTGCAGGGAATGATGGGGCTCGGCTAGGGCGGAGCTGTGCAAGCTGGAGTTTAATGGGATGGCCTTCATTTGTGCCTTTCGATTGGGGTTTCTCTCTCTAGAAGTTGAGGAGAGAGAAAAGGGGATTCTACGGTCTGTCTGTTACTGGGGTTTCTTTCAATCTGGCAGTTGCAGAGAGATCGGAAAGGGCCTTCTTTGAACTCGACTCTCTATCTAAAATTGGGGGATCAAGGGCTAACACACACACACTTTCTCTCTCTCTCTCTCTAAGATGGGAGAAGGAAACAGCTCTCCCCTCCTCTCTCTCTCTCTCTCTCTAAGATGGGTTCTTGTGGTAGGTGGGGGAAAGCTTGGTGTTCAGAGAACTCAAGCTGAAAAGAAAATGTGGGGTTCGCAGAGCATATATACGAATCAGTTTAGAGAGAGAAAGTAGAGAGAGAGAGAGAGGGGCGTGGAGTCGGTCAGTCAATCGTGCACCTACCCCTGTAGTTGAAATTGAAATTGAAATTGAAGGGCCATCACTCTCTCTTTCTTCCTCCTAACTTTGGTACGCTTTTTAGTAGATAGAGAGAGAGAGGGTCAACAGTGAGTGTGGTAGAGAGCCGTCGGCCGCCTGATCCGACCGTAGGCTCTATGAATCGCACCACCGTGGTGCCTTTGTTTTTGTTTTTGTTTTTTTTAATTCCCTCCCTTCCTTTCTTAGTGGCTTCCAAGTTTTACTTCTTCTCTCATGCCTCCTATTTTATTTTTTTATTTCCCTCTCTTCTTTTCAAACTGTGAACTCAATCTAGGAGTGGCAACGGGTTGGGTCCGGGTCGGGGTCCTGGTCCTAGCCGGACTTGAAGATATATTGTGAGACCGAGACCTGATTATATTAGGGAGCTCAAAGTAATTTATAAGAGTATTGATACCATAGGACCCTCTTCCACCTATGTGTGTAAGATTCGTATGAGTTTGAAACTTGATTTTTTTATAGATCTGTACCGTATTTAATGGTGATCTTTTGGAGTCTTATAAATGAGTGAGGGAGGGTCTTATAAGATTATTTTTCAATTTATAATTGTATTCAACAATTTTAGATATTTATGTACTCTTATTTTGTAAATGGAGAATTTTTATTCATAAAGGTATTTTTTATCATTAAAAGATGTGTGATATCATAGTGTATGACGTCACACCCCATATGGATGATGTCACACCTTTCTAAATAACAAAAAAATACCTTTATTACAAAATGCTCCATATATATAAAACAATGGTATATAAATGTCTAGAATTGTTGAGTAAAATGACAAACTATTACACAGCGTGAGCACCCTAATATAATCCAAATTAAAATACCTATGTATTTAAATATATTTATATATTGGACCTAAAAAATATTATTGGACTAGGACCCAACCGGACTCAGATCCGAATAGTATTCGGGTCCAAAATTTGGACCTGGACCCAACCCACCAAGTCCAAATTTTGGACGCATACCTAGACTTGAATTGAGTCTCTATCCCTCGGGTACTAAATCGGGTTCAGGTCCGTTGCTACTTCTCGATCTCAGCTAATTTTGTTGCAAAAAGGTGTATACAGTTACTATTTATTTTTAATACGAGGAGGTGAAAATCATTTCTGTCCATCATATTTCAAATCAAGTAATTGTGAGAGTTCTTGATTAGACTAAAAATTCAAAGAAAAAAAAAATCTCAAATTTTATTATGCATCCAAAGCCATTGGATTTGACCTGTAATGGCTAGTAACAATTGTGACCTCCTAGTAACTAGATTAAATGGCCTTATTTATTATAAGGACCCGGTTTCTATGCGGCCAAGCCCGCACATGTAGAAATGCTTAATAAATCTGTTTTTAAAAATCCATCTAAAAAACAGATTTTAAGACTTACTTTTTCCATCATGAAGATCATGAATATGATAATAAATGATTTTTTAAAACTAAAAATAATAATTCTAATAAGAAAACATTTGGACAGTTAGTTTCCATTGTTTTTAGATGGAACACCTACTTGCATCTAACTTTAAGATGGATGCTTTACACTTTCCGGTTTGTTACATACAATTCAGTTTGTTATTTCTCTCTTATATTTCTTATTAGAAAAAGATAATAAATGTTGGATGGCTTAAATTGAATCTCAACGATCAGGACAACGGACATTGCGGGTTATTATTTTTCAAAAGATGTTTTAAAATAGCCAACTTAAAATGTGGATATATTCATGCCTCATTTATGCACTCTAAACAAAAATGAAAAATAACACATGCAAAGAAATGCATCAAAACAATACATACAAAAATTTATTTAAAAATAGCTATCAATCAATCTCAATTCACAGGGATTTTGGAGCAACATAATCCGGGTGGCTCATAAAAAATTTGTGTCCTTGTTCCTCCATGGAGGTTTCTAATCCTATTTTTTTAAAGCATTAAAACTTTTTAATACAACTTAAAAATAAAAACTCAATATTGACATATACCAACAACCCCAAATTTTTATCTAACTTGTCCCAGTAGAGAAAACCTCCATCTTTTAATTGCTTTTTCAATGTAACTTACTAAAAGCCTACCACACTTATACAAATTAATAATAATAAAACTCAATTTACCATTTGGTTAAGCAAGAGCCTCAAAATAAACCATCACTGAAAATGACCAAATTACCCTTAGAATAGCTGAATTAATTGAAATTATATTACATCAGGAAATTAATACAACCTTGAGTACATGGTACTACTCTTCACCTACCAATGGTAAAACTCTTTTGGCATTACCAGCAGGATTATCCTACCAAAAAAATTTCATACAATAAATGAATGAAACACACCAAACTTCTCCTTAGTAAAAGATTAGTGGAAAACGACACCAAGTGTATCTCGTGTATGACAAGAGTCTGTCGTCTGATCCCATAATGCACGGTGGGGATGACTAGGGCCTCATCTCACCTTCCATTTTGAGAATGCCAATCCAATGGATGCTCCACCTTGTATTGTGTGGATCATAGATCATAAAAATGAAGACTAGTAATACTTTTTAAGAGCTAAAGGACCAGATGCATCAAAATAGATTTTCAAGCCGACTCGATCTGATGTTTTGGCAGGGTTGAAGATGTGTCATACTTTGATTATTTAAGGCTGACATTTTATATCGATGTCAAATATTCTTAACAACCAAGGTACTCAGCCCTTGCCTGAGGTAAGTGACTTGAGCATGTCCAAGTCTTAAGTTTATATAGGGCAGCATTATGAGGATGAAGTGGTATGAGAAATTGAAAATGATGGCCAGTTCTATGTTAAGTAGGTCTATAGATTACTTTTCTTTGACAGAGTGCGCTGGTCTCTTCCGAAGATAAAGCAAATTTGGAATTGGCCTATTCCACATAAAGTGCAGGTCTTTCTTTGGTTGGTAGCCCAAGATAAAGTCCTAATTGTTGACAATCTGATTAAAAGAGGGAAGTTCATCACTAATGTTTGCTTGATGTGCATGGAAAATAGTGAGAGTGGGGCGCACCTATTTATCCTTTGTTCGTTTAAATCCAAAATCTGGTAGTGATGCTTTCAATTGTTGGGATGAACCTAACCTTACCGCAACATGTGTTGGATTCGATCACTCAATTGGAGGTGCTTTTACAGAAAATTGAGAATTTTATCTAGAAGATCCTTCGCGCTGTTGTTCTATGAGAAGTATAGTTGGAGAGAAATCAAAGAACCTTTGAAGGGAAAGCCTGTTGTTTTGACAGGATATTAAATAAGATTAAGATCTCCCTTTGGTCATGGCTAGCTGTAATCAAGGAAGACAAGGGTTTATCCACAGTTGATTTTTTATTAATCACTCTAACCCTTTTCAGTTGGATGTGCCTAAAGTTAAACCTTATACTAGATGGAAGCCACCTGATCCAGGAGTGCTTAAGTTGAATTTTGATCGAAGCTCACTAATCCAGGTCTAGCTGGCTGCAATGTTATAATACATGATTGCCAAGGAAATGTCTTAGCTGCATATGCTGGCCGATGTGGAATCCCTACGGCAAATCACAGGGAACTTCTTGCGATTTTTCATGGCCTGAAAATTCTAGTGGCCAGAAATACAGTGGAGGTGTTATCATTGAGGGGGATTTGATGAATGTGATTAAATGGTGTTTGAAAGAGCAACGCTTTTTTTGACAACTTAAATCCATTGGGTTTCAGATCTTTCAGCTGATGTCCTCTTTGACCTTCTCTTACAGTGCCGGTAATTGCTGATGATGTATATGCTATATTGTAACCTGCTTTGATATCAATAAATTCTGAACTTCGTCAAGATAAAAAAAGTTTATATAGGGTAAAAAGAAACCCTATAAAATTTTAGAAAAATCATAAAAAATATAATAAAACAAAATAAATGTAGCAAAAATAAAATGAATCCAAAAGCAACATTAAAAATTCTAAAAAATCTTTAAAAAATACATAAAAATGGATCCACAAATTACTAATTTATAGATAGTGAATTTTAAAAATAAAAAAATATATAGAATGAGGAATTATGGCAAAAAATACTCTCGATCATTTCCAAAAACATCCAGATCATTTAAAAAAATGTATACATGATTTCTATTTTTTTTTCAATCTCATGACTTTTATTTTTTTTAAGGCACATAGAAATGTATTTAAGTTTTCCCCCTTTTTTTTTTTTCCTTTTTGATGTTAATTACTCCATTGAGTAGGTTATATACTCAAATTTTGGGTCCCAAAAACAGTCCTTCACAAGGTCTTATCAGAGTGCATGGAAGACATACTACATAAGGAGCATACAATCTTTTGGAATTTATTAAAAGGTAATTTTTTGTAAATTTTTTTTTTTTTTTCCTTTTTTTTTTTTTTTTGTAGAAACCATTTTGCTTTTTCCTCTTAGTAAATCACTACGTTAAGGAGGTTGCATCCTAAAAATTTCCCAAAAGAAGAGTCTTACATAAGCCTTTGTCCGAGTAAATTGAAAATATGCACCCTGAAGGATCATAAAATATGTTGGCATTTATTAAAGGAAAATTTGTTAACTTTTCGTAGAAGATATTGTTTTGCATTTGCCTTCCACTCCATGAACACACAGCTGTAGCTTGTAAGTATTTTTTCTTAACCTTTTTTCTTTGTGAGTGGGTAAGTAGTTGGAGGACTTTTGTGCTAGGGCCTAGGGACCATAGAATTAAAAAAAATGTGATTTTACTTTTTAAAATGGACAAAACTGCCCTATTAATGAAAAAATAGACATGTCAATGTCCAGGGACAAAACTACATTGTCAATAGATAGGCATGTGCAACTAATTACCATTTAGGAAAATAATTATGCCATACTCTTAGGTAGAGAATGGGTACCTATACCCGAAACCAACACCGGTAGGTAAATAGAGAATACCGAGGGACACCAGACAACTCTCTCTAAGGAACTCGGAAAAATAGCCCCGTAATTTTGGGAGAAATTATGCCTCCTTACAAAAAGAGGTCACAATGACCAAGCATGGCCGACTATTTTTATAAAAAAAAATTAAGGAGATGTTAGATGATTAATAATCTTCAAAACATGAGAGATTTTCCCTTCATGCACTCTGTGGTCTCAAGTAATTACTCCTGAGTTTGGATGGATACATTAGACCATAGTTATCATAATTGGACTGAACCAGTGGTTCAACTGATCGAATCATCGACCAATACCTTGATGGGTTCGGCTTAAAGTAAAATATGGATTTAGTAAAAAAACAAATCAAAATTCAAGATCTTCTGATCGGATCAGTCAGTTTTAACTAGTTCAACCATCTAAATGAAATTAGGCAAAAAATTTCATATACATATATATATATATATATATATATATCTTTTTTCTTTTTAAAAAATACTTGGTCCAATAGGTTCAACCTGTGGTGAACCGGTATTGACTAGACCAAATGTCTCACCAATTCGGTGGCCAATCCGATCTTGATGACACTGCATTAAATACAACTTCTTTTTTTTTTGTTTAAAAAGGGTGTTTTGAAGTAGATTTTGGATTACATGTTTCCGATCTGAATTTGCAATATACGTAGGATTGATCGGAAGAGATGGGAATTGAATCTGATTAGGAAGTAGAGGACCCTTAACTCCCATTTTAAACGGCTCAATATGGACCTTACCCTAAAGCCTTTCTCTCTCTCCATAGGATCGACCTCTAATTGAGTGCCCCTCTCTCATGTGAATCCAGACACAAATGTCCATAGTGTGTGCTTTCCCTATGCAAACGTAGGTATGAAGTGGCCGATAGGGATGATTTATCTAATTTGGATCTAAAACCCAAACTTTGGATCCGATTTGGAGAAGGTTATGGATCCAAGTTCAAAATTTAGATCTACTTTGGATTAGATCTGGGTCCAGTAGATCCAATTTAGATCTGACCCAATTTTAAAATAGTGTATACATTCTGGATCCGATTAGATCTTCATCTAGATCTAAATTCCATGTATACATTTTGGATCCAGACTTGACCCGAAAAATTCTCACCGCTAGCAGCCGGAGTCATGTAATATTTACTTAACCTCAAGCCATTATGACCATTAGCAAGGGCAAATCTACTATCAAAGGAAGATTAAAATAATTATTCATGCAATTTCTTTTTTTTACATGGAGAAAGTCATGCTTGAAGGCTTTCCAAAAGTTGGAAGACAAGCTTGCCCTTATTCCATTAATATAGGCGCCTTTGATGATTAATAAATTAATTAATTATAATAATAAAATGAGTTTAGTAAAAATGTATAAGAATTGGTTGGTTATGAAAAGATCGGCGATTATTTGAAGCGCAGTCCCATGTTGACTGACTAAAAAGAACGTGCTATTTTTAAATTTAAAGTTGACAACCTCTTATGTGTTTTTTCTTGTAATTCACCAACCCTTCATCTTCCTAGTCACTTCGTAGGACAAAGGGTGCTTTGCATCACACGTGTCATAAAGATACTATATATTTGACCTTTGGGATAGATAAACATGTGCATTTAATTTTTTTATTTATTAGGAATAAAATTAACTATTGTATACAATGAGACCATTAACCTTTGATACAAGGTGGTCGCAATTCCGTATAACTATTTGATGTGAAATATGATAGCAATATGATAGCTTGGATGTGTTACAAAGTCGAAAAAATTTCTTTTGAAGTTTGAGCTTGGTCAATGGAATAATTGCACCCATCAAATTCACATCCAATGATCAAGATTAATAGACCACTTTGTATCAACGGTAAATGGTCTCATTCTATACTTTCCCATAAAACTATAGATTACTTTGAGCAACTTTTGCTATACTTGGTTAGATTTTATGTGTTGGCGTGGAGACCGGACTTAACTGGCTGGTTAAATCGGTCCAACCGCCTACTTACGGTTTTGTTGAGCTCATCCAAAGCAATAGTTAGGTTTGGTAAAAAATCAATCAAATTAACTCTTTCGGCAGATTTCAGATGTCATCCTATTGATTGATTTTACCTGTAGGATTGGCTAAACATATTTGGCCAGACTTTCAATATGTATTTTATTTTTTTAATCATTGTTGTTTTTTTTTTTTTTTTAAGATTTTACCGATGTTTGGGCCAATTTTGTCAACCCCTAATAGATCTAGTTGTTGGTTGGGTTTTGTAATATTGACTATTTCCAAATCTTTTTTGACCTATTTAAAACCAATTTAGGTAATTCATATCTTTTCCCAATTGAGGCTCTATCTATTTTGATATTTTTAGTCTATCCCAAATAGTCAGAAAAAGAATAATGATCTATTGTGGCATTTTACCACTGATTTTTCATTTATGATATTTTGTCAGTCATATTTAATAAATGTGCCCCTTCTAGGATCTAGGCTTTCATTCTCACCTAACGCATTAAAAAACCACTAACAAGTTCAAAAACGAGTAGGGGAACATCATCTCCACTGAGTTACCCCAAAAAAAAAAAAACTAAAATCATTTGCAAACTTCCATCTTATAATATACATGTCCATGTTCTAGCTTATCTTTAAGGTTTTTCTTGTCCTATGTAGTGTTTCATTTATTTAGGTTACACCAGCTTCAGGCATAAAGATAAGATCAAATATATTTGCAAACAACCTTAATTAAATTCATTTACAATTTTCCATATTATCCAAACTTTCTTTTACAAATTAGAATCCGAATTCCACATGTACTCAGCTATTTTTCAGTTAAGCTAATTTTAAGAGCTAATATTAAGAGAAATAACGAATTCATAATGACGTACATTTAATTTTTGTCATAAGCAATTAAGGCATCGTAATTCTTTTTTGGGCGTGGTTTGTATGAGGCTGAGGCCCTAAATGATCCAAAGTAAGGTGCATCTTCAAATAGTATCCAGAGATGTCATATATATCGGAAATCTTTGTGATCGCCTGAAAATTTATTTCGATAAAGTTGGCCTCAGAGTGACCCTAACATCCCATGCAGGGGCCATGGCTACCAAATGATGGAACGGGCACATTTTCTTTTTCTTAACTATTTTCTAGATGTAAAAAGATTCGACGCTCGTGCAGGAGCGTACTTTCCATTTGCTCCCTCGCGCAAAACTCAAGTTGGGGATCTTTTTTGTATTCCAAATTTTGGAGATCTGATCTCTAGAGTCCGATGACCAAATTTAAAGAAGAAAAGAAAATAACTCACGTTCTCTATATGCCTAAAAAATGACATCCCAAAATTGAATAAGAACCATCTAATTTTTAGAGGGAAAGATTTAGAAGAACTCAAACTCGTTTTTTTTTTTCTTGAAAATAATCATTTAGAGATACTTAGATGGATCCCATAATTCGGCTCTAAAAAATCCTCAAAAGTAACTAATTTTGCCCAAGGGAGTTGTAGCACCCTTCCTAGATTTTAGGTTTGGATTTAATTTGGGTTTCTAGTTTTCTTTAGGCATTTCTTTAGGTATTTGTACCTTTTTTTATTGTAGAGAATTGATGAGACTATTAGAAGTTTAAATCTTGAAAGATCAAATGCTAGGATTTAATATTCTATAAATATGTAACTACTAGGCAGTAAGCAAAAGACAATTTATTATGAGCCATCAAAAAAGATCTTTTCGAGTAGACTATACCTTGCAAATCTCGAAAAAGGGTACAATCACTCAATCCTTTTTTTTTTTAATTTATTTATTCCATTTTTCATGCTTCCTACATCAATTGGTATAAGAGCCTTGAGTTCTATATGCCATGATGCTATCACAAATCCAAGATATATGTGAGCCAAAATGGGCTTCCAAGATTTTGATATCCAAATGGGAAGCAATCAAGTCTGAAGGGCTCGAATCAATGCACGTCAATCCTGGATCAAGATTTCCATGGACCCAAATGGGCTAGCAATAGATGTAACAGGGAAATAATGAAATAATGATAGAACATAGATGTAACAGGGAAATAGTGATAGAACCTCTCTCTCTCTC